TGGTTTTCTGACGTCAAATCTCTGAACGGACTTAATTTGAATCATCTTTGACGCCACATCCATTTAACTAGCCATTCCTCTTCTAGAGAAGAAATGAGGAATTTAAATTAAATCCTGCATTTGTTGAAATCCTGTGTCACTCAAAGAGATGTAGGTAAATAAACAGCAGTGGAGGCAAGATCTCGAAGTCATTTGCGAGAAGTGACGCCATCACCTTGGCTGTCACCTGAGCAGAGCTGGAGGAGGGCTGCAAAAGTGAGGCCTTTCCTTTCCTGTCCTAGCCCTAGGGTCTCTTCTCTCCAGCCAGATAGAATGACTTGAAATTCCTTACGTGGTCCTTGCTTCTTCCCATCTTTTGCTCATCAGAGGTCTACTCGGCCTAGAACACCCTTCCTGCTTCATTGCTGTGTCTCAACCCTAACAATACTTGCCCCGGAAGCCCTCTCAAAGCTGAATATAAGGCTTCTAAACACCATGAATTCTCTTTACTATAGACAGCAGCAGATTATCCCTGTACACACGAATTTTTACCCCCCTACTGGACTCCAGGCTTCTACGGGGCAGGAACCGTGTCTTCCCTCATGATGCTTCCTAGCATTCACTCGCCACGGTGCCTGGCACATAGAAGGTAATCAATCAGTATTTGTTGAATAAATTATTGATTTACTATGTGAGTGATGGATGGAGTATTAGAGGATGATGTCCTGGAAGAAGAAAATATTTACTTAGGGTCTAGCGTGGAATGTTGGTTTGTAACCTGTTTGGATTTTCATGCTATTTATATTTTACGCAAAAAGTGTGGGCAACTGTGAGTTTTCTTTGGTCTCCAGAATTGGTTTGCCCCAAGAACTCTGCTCTGCTTCATTCAGGCCCACGTCTTTCTTGGGAATTTTGGTCGCTCTGAAAGTAGTGGGCCCTGAAGTCAAGCGTGCATGTTCATAATGGGAGCTATAGAGGTGGAGGAGGTGGGATGAAGAGTCTGAAGTGATGGCTTGGGAGATGTGTTTGGGATTCCTCTAGGAGGCTCTACTTGGATTAGATGAAAATTCTGGGAGGGAGTTGTTGTCTAGGATAAGGGATAACAGACACTGTCTGGGGAAGAGGTGCCTCTCAGTTTAATGGTGGGGGCGACTATATGACTTTCACCTTGTAGCTGGATGGAGTTTATGGTTTTTATAGGGCTCTTGGGGAGTATGGAAAAGTAGAAAGGGCACTGAACTAGGATTCAGCACATTTGAGTGGTTATCTGTCATTAACCAACCAAGGGACAATGGTTCTGGACCTCAATTCCTTTTTCTGTAAACGAAGGAGAGGGTAAAACCAAGTATTCTCTAAAGATTGTTCTATGATTCTATAAAAATTGAGATGGGTTTCCCATGCTACCATTTTAGAAATTGGACATGGCAGGACAGTGAGATTAATGTCTTGGGCTGGGTTCTTAGGAAAGTTTGGAATGCAAGCAGTGAGGGGAAAGTGAGGTTCTCACAGAGATCTTTGTTCCATCTTTCTCTTTCTAACTTTTCCTCCCCTCCCCTTTTTCTCTCTGATGAGAGGCGGTGTGCTGTAGTGGCTAATTGTCTGGGCTTGGGAATCAGATGGATAAACATGTGAATTCCTGTTTGGCCACTTACTGACTGTGTGTGACCTAGGGCAAATTCCTTAACTTCCCTCTGCCTCAGTTTCCTCATCTATAAAATGGGGTTCATTTTCCCTAAGGTTATCATAAGGGTTGAATATTTGATGTATAAAAAGATATAAAATATTTGCTATTATTCTTCCCCACAAATATAGTAATACTGATATTATGTTCATACCTTTAAGACTCTAGATTTTAACATGGAATTCTATGACCTTTGATCCCACCGTCTCATCTGTTTCCTGTTTTGCATGGAAAAACCTAGGAGTCATCAATTTTTACTTTTGCAGATTTTAATTGTCTCAAGACCCAGCTTTGCTTGCACCATAAACCTATTGAGCTAGATGGCACATGGTACCAGAACTAGTGGGCAGACAGAATTTTCCCACCAAATTGGAATACAGACATTATTATAAACTTTAAAAAATGTTGTCATTAAAAGCATTCAGGAGTAACAGGTTACTCAGTGGGGGATATGTATTTCCTTATTATATACTTAAGGGTTAAAGGAATAAAGATGGGGCAAGGGAGGCCTTGGATTTCTTATGACGTTATGGTACACTTTAAAGTTTTAGCAAGGCTGGGCGCGATGGCTCACGCCTATAATCCAGCACTTTGGGAGGCTGAGGTGAGAGGATTGCCTGAGCCCATGGATTGGAGAACAGCCTGGGCACCTTGGCGAGACCTCATCTCTACAATAAATCAAAAAATTAGCTGGGCATGGTGACGCATGCCTGTGGTTCCAGCTACTTGGAAGGCTGAGGCGGAAGGATCATCTAAGCCCAGCAGGTCAAGGCTGCGGTGGACAAGAGCGTGCCAGTGCCCTCTAGCCTGGGTGAGAGAGTGAGACTCCACCTCAAAAAGTAAAATAAAATAATAAAGTTTTAGCAGCAGTGTAGCAGGTATCTGTCATGCCTGTATCCTAACAGCTCTTAAAAAGTAAATTTAATGAAGTTCAGGATGATACTTCAAACATATAAATTGTATCTTAATTTTTTTAATTAAAAAGCTTACATAGGTGAGAAGGTAGGTGGCAAGAATATTTAAGTTGCTTCTAAATGCAATTTTGAATAACATTTACAGATTATTTCTGTAATGCCTTTAATCTCAGTTGCTGGAGTGGTGACACTTAGGATCTGCACTAGGACTTCACAAACACTCTCCATGTATGGCACAGCCACCCTGCCTGGTGTCCTCAGTTCTGAGGTCTTCTGACAGTCTAGGTGGGTCCTTCTACTCTGAAATATGTAAATGGACAGATTTAGGAGAAGGCAGTGAACTCCTTGAGGGAAGGAACTGTCTTACTCATTGTTAATATCCAGAACCTGGGGAAATGACGGGCACTTTGCAGATACTACTTAGTGAGTCTCAGGGTCTGAAAGCATAGTCATGTGTTATCTAACAATGAAGATACATTCTGAGCAATGCGTCATTGGCAATTTCATCATTGTGAAAACATCATAAAATGCATTTACACAAACCTAGTTGGTGTAACCTATTTCATATCTAGACTAAATTATATAGCCTATTTTTCTTAGGCTACAAACCTGGACAGCATGTAACTGTACTGAGTACTATAGGCAATTGCAACACAATGGTAAGTAATTGTGTATCTAAACATAGAAAAAGTACAGTAAAATTTGATATAAAAGATTTTAAGTGGTACCCCTGTATAGGATGATTACCACAAATGAAGTTTGTAAGACTGGAAGTTGCTCTGTGTGTCACTAAGTGAGTGGTGAGTGAACGTGAATGGCTAGGACATGGCAGAACACCACTGTAGACTTTATAAACACTGTGCACTTAGGCTACACTAAATTCATTTAAATTTTTTTTCTTCAATAATAAATTAAACTTAGCTTATTGTAACTTTTTTTGGCTTTTGGCTCTTTTGGAATAACACTTCGCTTAAAGCACAATCACACTGTATAGCTGTACAAAAATTTTTTTATATCCTTATTTAATAAGTTTTTTCTATTTTTAAAATATTTCAGTTGATTTTTTTACTTTTTAAACTTTTTTGTTAAAAATTAGGACACAAACATATACATCAGCCAAGGCTTGTGTAAGGTCAGGATCATCAATATCACTCACTGGAAAGTTCCAGGAGGAATAACACCCAAGGTACTGTCAACACCTATGATAACATTGCCTTCTTCTGGAATACCTCCTGAAGCACCTGCCTGAGGCTGTATTATAGTGAACTTCTTTTTTATAAGTAGGTGTATACTCTAAAGGAGCAATAAAAAGTATAGTTTATAAATACATAAACTCTTAACATAGTCATTTATTATCATTATCCAGTATTATGTACTGTACATAATTGTATACTTTTAAATGACTGGAAGCACAGTTTTATTTACACCAGCATCACCACAAACACAAGAGTAATGCATTGTGCTACAATGTTATGACAGCTACAACATCATTAAGTGATAAGGATTTTTCAGTTCCACTGTAATCTTGTGGGGCCACCACTGTATATGTGGTCCACTGTCGGCTGAAATGTCATTGTGAGGCCCATGACTATAGTGGGTCTTTGTTAAGCAGGAAATGGAGATGCCCTGGGTAGGAAGACATGGTAGTGTTATGCAAAGCATATCTAAGGCATGTTCTGAACTGCAAGGTTCAACAGGGAAACTACAGTGGGATTTGTCATTTCTTCTTCAGTTAATGTCCTCATCTTGAATGACTTCAGAAGTTGAGATTCTGAGACTACCTCAAGAGAGTGAGGGAATGGAATAAAAAAGCCTTCTTTGCTAAAGCTAACATACAGGGGTAGAGAGGTTTGAAATGAAGCCCTGGTCCCAATGTGGGACAGTGTTTTTCTCTTGGGGTGAGGAATTCACCTCACCAAATGCAGCCAGTCAGAATTCTACAGAGAGTAGAAGCACTGGTCTTACCACTCATATTTCCAGATACAGTGAAGGAAAGGAATGACCAAGAGGAATTGGCCCATGAAAGTACAAGGTTAGCCTGACAGTTAATTAGAAGTTGAAAGGAAGAGAGACTGGCTGTTCTGCAAGGTGGTTTACTGGCTAAGATTTCAAGGACCCCTGGCAAGTTGAGAATGATGAGATCTGTTCATTTTTCCTTCACTGTAACGAATCATGCCTATGATGACAATTTTGTGTGAGTTGTGTTTTGTCAGCTCATTTCTGAATTATTGCTTCTCACTCAGGGTCTTCCCCACCATTTTAAGAATGTCAGAATGAAGTCAGATTTTAGCTGGGGAGGTAGAATGTTCTGCTCTGGAGGAAGCATTTAGTTACACCTGTAATGCAGGGACTTCCTGACTCCAGAAATCTTCTTCCTTACACATGTCAGAGGATGTCACAAAGTCTTTCTAGCAGGTCTTGGCCAATGGCCCAACAGCCTGGCTGCTAGAAATGAATACAGGGAGTGTTCCCTTCTCTTCTCCTTCAGCAGGACAGGATCTTGAGGAAGGCTTTGCGAAACTCGACATTGAAGGTGGTGTAGATCACGGGATTAAGGGCACTGTTCACATAGCCCAGCCACGTCGTGGCACTGTAAAGCTCTGGAGACACGTGGCATGCTTGGCAGTGGGTATTGAGAATGTGAGTCAGGAAGAAGGGCAACCAGCAGACAATGAAGGCCCCTAGGTTGCAAAGGAAGAAAAAACTGAGTAAGGGATTTGCTTACTCCTTTTGTTGGAACATGAAATGACTCAGGGTTGGCTACTTTACAGCCACTATGCTGTAAGGTTTACACACCCAATTATTTTTTATAACAACCCTATGAAGTAGATATGATTAGCCAAACTTTTTTTCTACGATGAGAAAATTGCACACCAAATTGATTTACCTCAGGCTTTTGTTACTAAACTAACTTTCTAGTTTGTTCTTTAGTTCTTTCCTAGACTTTTTTCCTTTCCTACTCAATTCAGACATTTATTTAATGTCTATGATGCAAAACATGACCCTTGCAAGACATGATCCTATGCATTTATGGGATGAAGATTTTTTTTTTTTTTTGAGTTGGAGTCTCACTCTGTTGCTCAGACTGGAGTGCAGTGGCCGCTCCCGGCCACCGCAGCCTCGACCTGCTGGGCTCCGGCGATCCTTCCGCCTCAGCCTTCCAAGTAGCCAGAATTACAGGCATGCGCTACCATGCCCAGCTGATTTTTTGATTTATTGTAGAGATGAGGTCTTGCTGCCCAGGCAGGTCTCGAACCCACGGACTCAGGCAATCCACTCACCTCAGCCTCCCAAAGGCGCGGGATTACAGGCTGAGCCACCGAGCCCGGCTTGGGATGAAGATCTTGAAGCTGTGATTGACACAGGTCTTGCTATTGAGGAGATTACATCTAGGGGTTCTAGTAAAGTCCCTAATATACAAGGAAGTTGGAGTTTGTCAGTGACTCAGGACATGATGAACTGCCTTCATTAACTATGTGGCACCTATGTGATTTATCAACTTTAATTTCTTTATTTAAATAAAACTTACATTTTTCTTTAAAAAATTAGCCCTGATTGCACACATTATGAAAAACTAGGTAAATATAGAAAAGTAGAAAGAAGGAAGATAAGCACCCACTATTTAAAGATAATTACTTTTGACATCTTGGCAAATTTCTTTTCACCCTTTTTTATTCCGAATTTATAATTACCTAAATGTTATCATACCACATAACAGTAGTATTTTGCATTCCTATTCTTCATTTAATTTTTTTTTTTTTTGAGTCAGTCTCACTCTGTCCCCTAGGCTGGAGTGCAGAGGTATGGTCATGGCCACTGCAACTTCGACCTGCTGGGTTCAGGTGATCTTTCTGCCTCAGCTTTCCAAGTGGCTGGAACTACAGTCATGCACCACCACGCCTGGCTAATTTTTATGATTTATTGTAGAGACGCGGTCTCACCAACTTGCCCAGGCTGGTCTCAAACTCCTGGGCTCAGGCAATCCTCTTGCTTCAGCCTCTCAAAGTGCTGGGATTACAGGCAAGAGCCACTGCACCCAGCTCATTTAGTATTTTTAAACAAGTAAGCATTTATTAAATATCCAATATGTGCCAGACACTTTTATTAACCCGCTCTCTTATTTATTATTTGATTTATCTATTATAACTCTATATGATGGAAAGTAAAATACAGCTCAATTAGGTGGCTTGTTTTGCTTCATAAATTTCCATCTGGGTCCTTTGAATTTTTACTAGTTAAAATTTATGCACAAACACTTCTCAATTATATTGAAAACATTTAATAAATATCACAGGTTTTGAATTTCCAATTTCTGTCAAATGTGGCTATCATAGTATCCTATGCCAGTTCCACCTACATTTACCTAACCCAGTCTCATTCAACCCAACCCAATTCAAGCTGATTCAAACTTACCAAGCACAATGGCCACCATCTGGGTTGCCTTCTTCTCCCGAAGTGGCATTCCCCGAGGTTGCAGAGGCCCCAGCTTTAGGGATGTTGATAATCTGCCATTGCTGAGTTTTCGAACCTCTAAGCTGAGCTTGGGTGCTATGGTGGGACTCAGGGAATTCCGCGTGCTCTCCTCGTTTTTCAACTCTCCCCTTTCTTGGAAGTCTGGTCCACTCAAGGCAGTATCTTGGCAGATGCTGTAGTAGCGTTTCAGCTCTAGGTGTGTCCGGCCAGGAGAGAGGGGCTGCAGGTGTGAAAAGAGAGGATCTTGACATTTCTGGGGATATTGTTTCTCTTCTGAATGTTCCTGAAAGGAGAAGAGAATGCAAAGAAGGAAAAGATTTCACATATCATTGTGTGAAGATGGAGGGAACACCTGAGAATGTGAAAAGTTGCAGGAAATAAAATCTGCTTTGAACTTTACAACTAAAGAGAACCTGCCATGTATAGAACATTTAATAATTACAACAATACCGTGAAGGGGTTAGCATAGGATGTAGTCTGACCTTTTTTGAGTCTGAATGACCTTGAGATACAGAGGAACACATTAAATGACACCACTGGGATGTCAGTCCCAAAATCTGGAGTGCAGGAAACTCTACAAGACAAATGACTCAATTTCTTCATCAAATAAATTGTAACAACAGCAAGCAACAATATTTACCAGTTGTAAAGTATAGGCCTTATTTGAATTTTAATTCAAACAGACTCATTGTAAAAAAAATTTACAAGACAATTAGGGAAATATAAACATTGATTGGTTATTTAGTAGTGTTAGAGAAATATTATTCCATTTTTGTGTGTGTTGTGATGTGGCATTGTGGTTGTGTTTTATAAAACAGTCCTTATGCTCTAGAGGACCTTACAGGGATATCTTTGGTTGGAATAATATGGCATTTGGGATTTGCTTCATAGCAGTCCAGTGGGAGTGTGTAAACATAAGTAGAAGTGTAGATTAAATAAGATTGGCCACGAGTTGCTAATTACTGAAGCTGCCTGATTTTTGTTAGATTTGTCTTTCTAGTTTTTAAAATTTTTGAAAATTTCTACAATAGAAAAGTAAAAAGAAAAAGAAAACCCAGGATTTTCATCTCAGCTTTCCTGCTTAGTAGATGTGTTCTTGGGCAAGTTCATCTGATATCTCTGCACCTCATTTGTAAAACAGAAAAACATAGGAGAAAAATGGGTTTAGGATGAGTAGACTCTGAGTACAGAAAATGGAAAATATGTGATTTTGGGGGGGAATTTTGTTGGGGATATGTGTATGCCCAGCACCTGAATTTCTTTTCATGTTTGGAAGTCAGATCCTTGTGTCAATCTTGAATAGGAGGCAGAACTCAACTCTCTAACTCCCATTACTGACTTCATAAAAGCCAGATATTCTCTCCAAACCCCCACCTCTATGCAGCTAGAACTCTGGCACATAAACCAAGCCCAGTCAAGTGGATTTTCGCACTTGAGACTTTGAACTGGAACTAGTGAAACAGGGAGACTTCAGAATTCATCTAGTAGCAATGCAATTCAATGTCCAGTGTCCTTGGCCTTTTAACCAGAATACTCCTTAGGCATAAACAACATCTTCTGAACTGTTCTTCTGCCTTCTCATTGACCCTATGAGCTACCTGACAGCTTTCCAGTAAATTCCTTTTCTACATAAGTTAGACAGTTTTAGTTCAAGGAATCAGTCTTCTAGATACACAAAGTTGGCACATTGTATGAGAGGGACTCCCCCCCCCAAAAAACCCAGAATTATCTTTTGGAGGGTGGGGCCCTTGTAGTACACTCGGATTTTGTTCCTCCAAATCAAACTATGATCCAAAGTTTTTTATCTTGAAGTTTTGAGAACACTGTATCACAATTTGCAGAAGAAACATTCTGAGTTGTGTCAAACAGGTGACTGGTTCTTCCACCATAACAACACACCTGTACAATTCAAACTGAATGTTTAACAGTTTTTGACAAAAACGGCATGACCCCTGCGCCCTACCCTTCCTATTCACCCCACCTCACCCTTAGTGACTTTTTTTTTTTTTGTTTCCTTGGATGAAATAACTCCCCAAAGGGAACTGTTTTGCCAATGTGAAAGAGGTGAAAAAAAAACAGCAGAAGCACCAAAAGGCATCAAAACTGCTGAGTTCAAAAACTGTTTTGAGCAACAGAAAAATCATTTCAGTAGGTATGTCGCATCAAATGGTGAATACTTTGAAGATCACTGAAGTTTAAACATGTAAGAATAAATATATAATTTTTTAATAAATGAATCCTGTTTTTTGGGGTCCCCCCTCATACACACTTAGAAACATTGTTGAATGAATAAATGAATGCAAGGGATATTCAATGTTATTTAGTGTTTTTAACTCTGCTCCACAGAGACATTCTTAGCAATTCTAGGAGAATATATAATTTAAAAATTTTTTGGCTATATAATAATTGCATGTATTTATGGGATGCATGTAATATTTTGACACATGCATACATGCGTAATGATCATACATGTAACTGAAATATCCATCACTGCAAACATTTATCATTTCTCTGTGATGTGAAAGAACTTTGGCTATTTTGAAATATACAATGAATTGTCGTTAACTATAATCACTCTACTGTGCTATCAAATGCTAGAACTTATTCTTCTATCTAATGGTATGTTTGTACCTATTAATCAGTCTCTCTTCATCCCCTCTTTCTGCTACCCTTCCTGGATTCTGGCAACCACAAATCTACTCTCTATTTTAAGAAGATTCACTTTTTAAGTTCCCATATATGAGTGAGGAAATGCAATATTTGTCTTTCTATGCCTGGGTTATTTCACGTAACATAATGACCTCCAGTTAAGAGAATATATTTTATTCATGTCTTTTGCCTGCTTTTTAATAGAGCTGTTTGGTTTTTTTTTTTTTCCTTTTCACTTGTTTTAACATTACTAAACGTACCTAATTCTAAACCAGGGGAAGTGAGGACCAGTGAGAGGCCCAAATTTCACCTGCATGAAGACCACTTATGTACCTAATTCTTACTTGTATACCACATCTTTAAAATAAAATAAAGAAGAAAAAATAGAGTATATTTTAAAACATTTTTGGTTCTTTATTTTGATGGGATTTTTTAATAATTAAAACAACCGTATTCTGTTTCAGCTGAATGACATTTTATTACCAAGATTATATTTGTGATTAAACTGGTACCTACTGATCTTCTAAAAGTGGCAATATTTGACATGTGATACATTCTTTCTGAAACAAGGAGACTGGTGACAAATTCTTGGAATTACCCATGAAATGTCAGGTTTGAGAACACTGATCTAGTAGACCCTATCTCCATTTTACAGATGTGAAAATTCAGTCCTATGGGAGATATTGATTCTTGCAAGATTATATAATGGTGAGGGTATTTTTCAGCTTTCTCTGCAAACCCTTATCTCTGTCTCCATGACTGACATGAGGAAACGCTGGATTTCTCTGGGTCTGGCTGGCAGAGCCTCCACTCCCAGATGGCAGGACAGAACCTCATTCTCCACACTCCTGGCAATGCCAGCCTCTTGGCTCTCCAATCTCTCTCATAGTCAACACTTTTCCTCCATTTGGCCTTGGAGCCTCCTAGGGCTTTGGATCTGCCATAGGTGACTTTAAGCTGCTTATCTATTATCATTTACAGTGAGAGTCTCTAACTGCTATGCCAGGCCTGTGTAAAAAGTGATTAATTAGACCAAGACTGGACAAGGCTCAGACTTTCATCATTACAGAATTTTAAAGTTTTATTCCTAATGTGGGATTCAGGGAGAGGAATGCTGCCTTAGATTTAACACCTCCAGGCTCCATTCTGTACCCTGCTAGCTTGGGGAGGTAAGGTTGGCTTGAATTGGAAGGACAGGAGTCAGGGTGACCATGAATTTGTCTTTATTTTCCCCCTACATTTAGTGGTAAATAGGGCACTTGAAAGTCTCCTTTCTTTGCCTTTTTCTGGCTCTGCCCATGTATGTTTCATTAACGTCTGTTCTCTCTAATGCAGGTGGCTCTGGATGGCATCCTCACACCACATCCAAGAGTCATTGGCTCTGACCATTGAGATCTAGTCCAATAGTTACATGCATTCTGAATATCATTTGATGAAATCTATTCAGAAGCTTAAACCAGGCAGAATCTCAGATCTTGTCATATATTATAGATACAAGCATAGGAACCAGGACTCGATTTCATTTTGTGGTGGAAATGGAATGAAGATAAACCAGCATCATGGAAGATGGTAGCATTCTTTTTCTAGGATCAAAACATGGCCCACTTACCATTTTTCCTGTGGCATCTGATGGAAATCTGGCCCTTATTGAAAACTGCCGAATGGGGTGCAGCCGCAAACAGGAAGTCTAGGGTAAGTTGAAGAAGATACAATCAGTTGTGGCTTAAGTTTTACACAGTTGAGCCATGTCATATGTAGCCATGTAGCCTGGCAATATTTTGAACGCAATATGTTCATATCTTTAGCTTTGGATTCTGACTGTCTACTTCATTGGAACTAACAGTCCTGTTCTACTCAAGTCTTGTGTCTTTGAGAGTCTAATCTTCATTCAGGTCATCAAAGATTGTTCTAGATACCCAGATTGTATCTGCCTTCAGGATCAAACTCTGTTCTTACTCTGTCTTTGAAACTTTTCCCTGAGCATTTTGGTTTTGCTCTTCTCATAACCTTCATGGCACTTCATATTCAGGTGCTTAATTGTGTTCACATTTAGCAAACCTTCTACTCAGTTCTGAGCTGTTCATTAACTTTAGGTGCAGATGCTTTATTTGCTTGTCTAGAGTCAAAGCTCCATGAAGGCAGACGCTGTGTAATATTCCCACTGTCCCTTCCCTGGTAGATTGTACATAATCAGTATTTACCCCTTCATGCTGCAAGTATATTATGGGTCAACTACAATGTGCCAGGCACTGGGGTAAGCAGAATTTAACGTCCAAGCAATTGGAAAATCATTGCAGAGGCAAAACCTTCCATTTCAAAACCTAGATAGACCCAATAAAATGCATCAATAGCCTCCCATCCCACTAGCTGGTCAGTTCCTTGAGGCAGAGCTGGTAAGGATAAAAGGATTTTTTTTTTAGTTGGAATCGCACTCTGCCACCCAGGCTGGAGTGCAGTGGCACACTTATGGCCACCCCATCATCAACCTGCTGGGCTCTGGCAATCCTTCTGCCTCAACATTCCAAGTAGCTGGAACTACAGGCACATGCTACCATGCCCGGCTATTTTTTTAAAAAAAATTTATTGCAGAGATGAGGTCTCGCCTAGTTGCCCAGGCTGGTCTCGAACCTGTAGGCTCAGGTAATCCACTCGCTTCGGCCTCCCAAAGTCTGGGATTACAGGCTGAGTCACGGAACCTGGCCGGAAAAAACGTTTTGATAAACCCCTTAATTCTTGGTTTGGACAAAATATCAGTTCTGGGAATCCACCAGCAGCTCAAGGTACAAATGCCACACTAAAACCTCACACCGTATGGGACATGTGAACTGTTGGCCATTTGGGGGAAACAGGAGACTTTGAAAGAAAGCAGAAGCCCAGGACTATCCTATCATCTTTCCAAGTAGGTGGGCTCTAGGAATGACTATCAATACACACACTTGAGATTGGATTTCCTACCTTCAAAACAAAGCCAATACAAGCAGATTAGAAGATGGGTGTCATATCTGTGTCTCCAATGTGGCAGTACAGGCAAAATCATGCCCTACTGGGAGCTTATGGGATTGGGTACTGTCTTCCCTGTGCCCCCTCCAGGGTGCTTACTTGTTGCGGGAAGCCAGGTCTGACGCTAATGCACTGACTGTTTTGTCGAGTGAGGATCCGTTTCCGTCTTCTTTGTTTCAGCACCACATAGATCCTGGCATAGACAAGGACGGTCACTCCAAAGGGCAGGTAGAAGGACACCACCGAAGAGTAGATGACAAAATCAGGGTTGGAGATGGAGCAGATGCTGGGATCCCCTGTGGGCGAGAGAAAGGGAGAAGAGAAAGCAGTTTCCTAAGTACCAAACCTCAGAAGGGAGCACAAAACTTGGCCCCATGTCACATGTGGTGCCTCCACTTTCTGATGCATGTGGGGAGTGCTGGAGAGATGCAGTCTCAGATACCTGTACTGTCATCATAGGTGTCTAATGACGTCTAATTCATCTTTATGTTTCTTGCAGTTTACTTAAAAAGGAAATTTATCAACAATGATATACCAGAAACTGCTCTGTACTGTGGCTGCAAAGATGAATAACACATGTGTCTGCTCTCGAAGGAGCAGTCTAGATAGACAGATGATCCCTTCCATACGATGCGCTAAGTGGCGCACAGATGAAGGCAGTCTGGGAGGTTAGGGGGAATGTCACAGAGCAACAGGGCAAGGCTCCTAGGAAGGAAGCAGTCCCCAGCAAGGGGCCTGCTGGTGCCCAGTCAGTAAAGGATTGTTGGAATGCAGTGAAAGGAGGAAGCCTTCTTTGCTGAGAATGCCAGGTCTCCAATTTTGAATCTGGGACATAGGGCAGGTGGGTGGCTAAATACTAGACGGGTATTTGATTTTTCAGAGAATTCCAGCACTGGCCGGGCTGGGGATGGGAAAAGGACTGGTGAGGCTATTATCACTGTGGAGAATGTGAATTCAGATATATCCTTGTTCCTCCTTTGTGTCCTGAAACGCTCCCACCATTTCTCCTTAGGAGGTCCCTGTGGCTTTGCCTTCTTCATAGCAGATGTTGAGAACCCTCCAGTGACCAGGATGGGGCCTGAAAGTTGCCCCATCTTGAAAGAAAAAAGAAAATCAAACCAATATCTGCCATGTGGTCTGCCAAGGGCTTTGTACACATTGTCTTACCTAATAATTACAGCAACATTACGCGAGGCAGGTGCCATTGCTGTCTCTATTCTCAGATGAGCAGACTAAATCTCAGAGAGGTTCAGTAAGTAGCCCAGGGCTGCACCTGAAAAATATGTTCCTCCAGCCAGTCTGACTCCCCAACCAATGCTCTTTCCGTAATTTTGACTCTCTACTTCCTTCCACTACTGTGACAGGGCACACGTGTGCTTTGCTCATCACTGTCAGCAGCAACTGTTGGTGCTTCTGCCCCATCTCTATAAAGGGATGGGGAGTCTCCAACCCCAAATCTGACCTAAGAAGATGCAGCTTCAGGTGTGAGCTGATGGGGAGAGAGCAGTGGCCATGGTGTGTCCGTCATTCTGCTTCTTGGTTGTCTGAGATAGGTAGAGGCTAGACAACCCTATGTGGGTTTTCTAATAAAAGACCCAGATCTGTTATTTATTAACTGCAGGATCTTGGGCACATTTATTAACTATGCCAAGCCTCAGTTTCATTACCTGTAAAAACAAAACAAAACAAAAAGAATAGAAACATTGTCTTGTAGCATGGTTGTGAGAATTAACAAGTGGTAGCTATTATTATTATTTATTTATCTCCCCTGAGAATTTTGGACCTAGGAGGGAAGGTATCATTTGGAATGGAATTTTGGAGACACTTATAAGAAACAATATTTGTAGGGGAGGGAAGACAGTAATAGCTAAGAATTAAAATGCAAAGCAAGAGTGTGCTCCGTGATCAGTGAGGCATTTTATTGACAACACTGCCACCAGAATCTTTATAAGCTACTCCCAAATTCTCTGGTTCTCTGGGAAGAAGGTAAAAATCATGTCCTCTCACCAAATCTCATGTCACCATCCTTTAGGAAATAACTCATAAGGCTCTGAGTAGTGGTCACCAAATTGGCATCTTTTGGTATTGAGTGGGCAAAGGGGCTGCGGGGAGGGATGGGGTGGCAGCTGGTGGTCTTTCTGAATCTCTGGAGAGCCATGTTGGCAGCGATCAGCCCCTTGAAACCAGCTCCCCTGTCGTCCTCGTCTGACTATGATTTACGTACTTTTATACTGAGGAGGAGTCTCCAAACATTTTCTTGTGAGAAAAGGCAGTAGGGTGGCCAGGCTGCTTTCCCATTATTCATCTTGCTGCCATCCTCAGTGTCCTGGATATTCCCCACTTGTCCCTTTGCATAATTCTCTACCCTTCTCTAGCCTCCTCTGGGTTCTGAGAGGCTGACTTCCAAACTTTATATATAAACTACTTTTTTCAAAAAGCTAGGCAAGGCAGGAAGATTGCTTGGGCCCAGGAGTTTGAAACCAGCTCGAGCAACACAGCTAGACATCGTCTCTACAAAAAATAAAAATAAATTATTGGGGCATGGTGGTGCACACCTGGAATCCCAGTACTTGGGAAGCTGAGGTGGGAGAATTGCCTGAGCCCAGGAGGTCAACGCTGCAGTTAGCTGTGATGGTGCCACTGCACTCCAGTCAAGGCTACAGTGAGCTGTGATAGTGCCACTGCACTCCAGCCTGGGCAGCAGAGTGAGACCCGCAACTCAAAAAAAAAAAAAAAAAAAAGCCAGCATAAGAAGTGAGTATAGTATGCTTCATTCATTTCTGTGTAAAAATGAATACATATATATGTATATGAATGCAAGCGTGTGTGTTCCCATGCATGCTTGTTGCAAGCATTGTGTTTCAAGAATACTCTTGTTTGTTTCTAGGGAGGGGAATGAGGGAACTAGCAGTTTGAGGTAGGAGGGAGACCTACATATCAGTATTTATGTTTCTCATGACCTCTTATGAAAGTTTTATCACGTGCAAGTATTTATTTTTTTCCGTTAAAAATACTGAAAGAAGCTGGGCTTGGTGGCTCAGCCTGTCATCCCGTGCCTTTGGGAGGCTGAGGTGAGTGGATTGCCTGAGCCCGCGGGTTCGAGACCCGCCTGGGCAGCGAGACCTCATCTCTTTAATAAATCAAAAAATCAGCCGGGCGTGGTAGCGCGTGCCTGTAATTCCGGCTACTCGGAAGGCTGAGGCGGAAGGATCGCCGGAGCCCAGCAGGTCAAGGCTGCGGTGGCCGGGAGCGGCCACTGCACTCCAGTCTGGGCGACAGAGTGAGACTCCAACTCAAAAAACAAAAACAAACAAACAAAAAAGTTTAAAAAATACTGAAAGAAGCCGGGTTTGGTGGCTCAGCCTGTAATCCCGCGCTTTGGGAGGCTGAGGTGAGTAGACTGTCCGAGCCCACGGGATCGAGACCCATCTGGGCAACTTGGCGAGACCTCATCTCTACAATAAATCAAAAAATTAACCGGGTGTGGTAGCGCATGCCTGTAGTTCCAGCTACTTGGAAGCCTGAGGCGGAAGGATCGCCGGAGCCCAGCAGGTCGAGGCTGCAGTGACTGGGAGTGACCAGTGCACTCCAGTCTGGACGAAAGAGTGAAACTCCAACTCAAAAAAAAAAAAAAACAAAAAACAAAAAACACTGAAAGAGAGAGTGTGTGAAGAGAGGGCATGTAGCTGCTTCAGGGTCTCTGGTCAATGAAGGCCATCATATGTAATCACTGAACTTTCATTGTCATCCCTTCCTCCCTCCCCTATCTAAGAAAACACTATCCTTCCTTAGATCATCTCCCAGAATTTCCCCATGATATGCTGCCTCGTGACTACACAGCAGGCAAAGTGACACTGGAGGTGAGTGGCCAACGAGGGGGTCCTGCTCCAGCCCCCAGCAGACCTGGCCTGATTGTATGTCCTGTCAGCAGGGCAGAGGGATGCCCCCCCACATCAATTCCAAAGTTTCTCCGTTGCGAGTCAAAGAGATGGTGAGGGCAGGGAGGCCCCCTAGAACCTACACAGTAGTTATGGAGTGAATACCTGATTGATGAGTGAATGAGCAAAATGTCCAATTGAGCATTTTATATGAGCACATGAGCCCTCACTGGCTAGGATCTAATAGGAAGGCTGGGCCGAAGTGGGTGGGGGAGAGGAGGTTACTCCTCATTCTCTGAGATTAGGGATACTGATCCCAACTAATCTCAACATTTAAGGGAGAAAGGATCATTTAAGGAAGAAAGATTCATCTACTCACTCATTCAACAAAACTTTATGGAGTCCTTGCTATGTTCAGAGCACTGTGCTGGGTGATAGAAATACGACACAGGTCCACTAAATGGTCTAAGAGACCTTTGTGGGCTGTCTTGGGAACCCGAGTCTCACAGTGATGGAGTAGAATAAACAAAAGCAGGTTTACTTGAAAGATTCATGAACTTCAAGCTCATTGAAGGATTTGATCTCAACCTGATTCCAAAGACAGGAGATGCTGATGGATCTGATTTTAGGATGAGCTTATTATTCTTTTAACTTTGTGCTTTCAACTTCCTGAGTAACCAAGCTTCCCTGGACTCCAGTGCTCTGAAAGCCAGGTGAGGTGTTCTATTGATTAAAAATCAAATAAATAACACTCTTCCATTTCTGTTTTTCAAAGGAAAATCAAGCCAGCTGATAGAATTTTCTTAACATTTTTCCTCCCTGAAAGGTTTCTTAAACCCTTATCACCAGCTTATTCATCCACTGCTTATTCATTCTAGATTTCTTAATAACACAATAGCTATCTGATGTGGTAGAAATTTAAATACTAGTTATTTTTGTTATCTGTAAAATGAAAGTACTGGGCTGCTCATTCAGGGATCATTAGGTTTTCTTCTAGCACCGACAAGCTATGCTCAGTTGTCATTAGGAGTTGTTAATGATGTGATATTTGGCTAGACTGCCGGGCCTCTGCTGGGAGCTGGGGCAACCCTGGTCCTCCGCCTTGGAACTCTCTGACCTAAGACCCCATCTTATGTTGCCCTTTCCTTAGAGAATTGAGGCAACTCCAGGTTGAAGGGACTGAAGTTCAGCTTTTCTCTATCTCGTGTTCTCTACTAATTCTCAATCACATTTGGCAGCCCATGGCATTAACAGAAGTGCTCTGCCAGAAAATTCTTTCTGTGTTGTGTTTCTTAATGAAAGCCCAGCTGCTTCCAACATCAGGTGTTATTGGCAGTCTCCTACCCCCTCCCCGACTTTCCACAGAAGGAGAAGAAAAAATGATGGAGAGAAGTCATTTATATTGGGCTTTCGAATGAACTTGGGAGCTTCCGTATAGAGAAGTTGCTGCTGGAACCCACATCTATCAAGGTAATGAAGCTGTACTGTGAAGGTCAGCTTGAGGCAGAGGAGGACACTGGGTGAAACTGTTTTGAGTTCTACTCAATAATACCCCAAACTGTGTTCTAGGAAGAGACAACTGGTTTCCTCTACAACCGCCAGCAAAACAACTTCTGGAATGGATGTGTAGTTAAATTTTGAGACATGAAACTTTGTAATAAATAATAACAACAATAACAGCAGTTAATATGTACTAGGCTCCTACAATGGAAACAGATATATATAAATAATTGGAGGGCTTATTACTGTGCTATTAATAGAATCAAAAGTAAAAGGCTGGGCACGGTGGCTGATGCCTACAATCCCAGCATCTTGGGAGGCAGAGGTAAGAGGATTGCCTGAGCCCGTGGGTTTGAGACCAGCCTGGGCAGCTTGGTGATACCTCATCTCTACAATAAATAAAAAAAAATTAGCCGGACATGGTGGCACATGCCTGTAGTTCCTACTTGGAAGGCTGAGGTGAAAGGATCACCTGATTCCAGCAGGTTGAGGCTGCCTGGCCATCAGTGTGCCACTGCATTCCAGCCTGGGTGACAGAGTGAGACTCTGACTCAAAAAAAAGTAAAAGAGAAGCTGAGTACAGTGACTCACACCTATAATTCCAGCACTTTGGGAGGCCAAGTTGAGCCTGTGAGTTTGGGACCAGCCTGGTCAACATGGCAAGAACTTGTCTCTACAATAATCAAAAAAATTAGCCAGGTATAGTGGCGCATGCCTGTGGTTCCAGTTGCTTAGAAGGCTGAGGTGGAAGGATCGCCTGATCCCAGCAGGTCGAGGCTGCGGTGGCCATGAGCATGCCACTGCACTACAGCCTGGGCGACAGAGGGAGACACTGACTCACAAAAAAAAAAAAAAAAAAAAAAAAAAAAAGAAAGGAAAAAAGAGAGTGTATGAGAGATGAGAGAGAAGAGAGAGCATACTTGCTAAGTCTCAGGACTTCTAATTCCATATTTGAAAATTCTTTTGGAAAGATTTCCTGAGTTTTGTGTGTGGAACAATAATGATCTCACTGGTGGCAGTAACACTGCAATTAGTTCATCATTCTTCTTCATTTGAGATGTTGACATTAACTGGGAACTCTGTCTAGTGTCAGAGTTTGCAACTGTTTCAACTGTTTCCAGGGCGTGTGTCTGTGAAAGAAAGACTGCCCCCACCAAGAATGAGCAAGAGGCGCCACACTCAACCAAACTGATGGTGGTAGAGATTTGTTGCTGGTTGGCCTGGAGAGAGGCAGCGCCTTGGTCTAGTGGTGGTAGTGAGTTCCCCATACTACAATTTCCAACTAAGAATGCATTTTTATATAGAAACAAGGGTACAGAAGGTGACTTAATTATCAGGCCAACTTAGTTATCAGGCCAATAAAGCACAGTTAACATTCACCAGAAAAATGGTATTTTACTGCTACAGAGTCAGTTTCTATAGCCGTGTTGGGGGATGTTGCCCTTCGATGGGCGTAGTGTGTGTATGAACTCATGTCATTCAGTTAAAATAATTAAGTGGTGAATAATAAAGGGTAATGCAAAGATGATAACAGCACCATATTTTAAGAACACCCCGGGTTAACCAGGCAAATATCTGCTGATTAACTTGGCTAATTAGCCTTTAATGTGGAAAAGAAAAAAAAGAAAAAGAAAACAAGCCGAACTTGAGCAGGAGGTATCTGCTTGGCATGTCTACATGTCATATGTAGGGTTAGACTCTAAAGTCAATGAATAAAGTGAAAATTATATAAATTCAAAATTTGCTTTGAAAATCTCCTGAATCACATATGAAGATATACATGGTTTTATTATAACCCTGAACGGTAATAAATGTATGATACATAGAGTAATAGGTCATATGAGGATGACCCAAAAAACACCGGAATTATCTGTTGGAGGGCAGGCACCTTGTATTACAGGTCTCCTCCTCTAGATAAGTGTTCTAGGAACCCACTGGCATCAGTGTACTAGCTAGCGTTGTTGTGAGAGGCTGTGATCAGCTTCAGTAAATTTTTTTTAGAGAGTCTTTCAACACATTTTGATTTACGAGTACACCTGCCTACACTGTGCTGAATGTTCAGTAGTTTTTGAACAAAAGCAGCGTGACCCCTGTGCCCCACCCTCCCTATTCACTCAATCTCGCCCCAAGCAACTTTTTTTTGTTGTTTCCCAGGATGAAAAAAATCCTCAAAGGGAAACGTTTTGCTGATGTGGAAGAGGTGAAACAAAAAATGGCAAAAGCACTAAAAGCCATCAAAATTGATGAGTTCAAAAACTGTTTTGAGCAGTGGAAAAAGCATCAAACAGAGAGTACATTGAAAATGACTGAAGCTTAAACATGTAAGAATAATACACAATTTTATTATAAATAGTTTTTTAGGGTCCTCCTTCATATATTATAAGGTTTATATAGAACATGTAATTTTACAAATTTTTGCCTGAGCCCAGGGGTTCGAGACCAGCCTGGGCAACTTGGCAAGACCTTGTCTGTACAATTAATACAAAAAATTCGCCGGGCATGGTGGTGCATACCTGTAGTTCCAGCTATTTGGAAGGCTGAGGTGGAGGGACTGCCTGAGCCCACCAGGTAGAGGCTGGTAGCTGTGAGCATGCCACTGCACTCCAGCCTGGGCAACAGAATGAGACTCTGACAAAAAAAAAAAAAAAAAAAGAAAGAAAGAAAGAAAAAGAAAAAAAGGAAACATCCTAACAATATATAGACTGAGTCTACACATTTGAATTTGCCCAAGTTTGTGCTCCATTGCATTATTATTCCAAATTTTCCAATAAAGAAGCTGAACCCAGAAAAGTTAAGTAACTTGTTTGAGGAGACACAGCTGGTAAGTAGTAAAACTGGAGTTTGGACTTAGATTTTTCTGACTCCAGATCCTCTATCTGACTTCCTAAATGTGTTTTGATTTCTAAATAATTGTCCAGCCAATGACACTTGGAAGATTATTTATAAGTTAGGATTTGCCTGTATTTAAATGTAATGTGTAATATCTGCATATACATAAGCACATGACTATGTGATTTGTACATATATACCAGAAATTCATGAACCTGAAACATAGGAATTGAATGAACCTGTACAAATGGATAAAATAAGAAATTCAGATGGACAGTAGTCAATCAGTTTTCTCTTAGCAAATACTCAGTGTATACTGTCAATACCCATCATGTTACTGTGTGTGTTAATAGCTTTCATTCAACACATAAAATTCCTGAGGCCAAAAGGAACATGATATAAACACAGAAGGCACTGATCCATAAGAGGTAGAAATTTGGATTGGTGTCATATTCTTAAAAACAAGCAGCTCAGATATATGTCCGTCCATCCGTCTTTCCGTCCGTCCATCTATCCATCCATCCATCCAGTAGAAGATACATCATTGTCAACCATTACAGCCAGAATGTTTGTCATTAAAAATAAAAATACATGCTGTAGTAATTTAGAAATCTATATTAGTCTCCAAGTATCAGAAATTATTCGTATTGAGTAAAAAGCTAGAAATATATATCTTATTATGTCTTATAATATGTTATTTTGTATTGTAGGTCTGTTAGAAATTGGCATCTTTTCATTTGCAAATCCTCCCTGAATTATTAATATATGTTGACTTTTTAAACTGGTACATTTTTTTCACACGAGTCCAATGACACTTCTTTCAAAATAGAGATGAGCCAGACTGTCCATTAATTGGGCAGAACTTTACCTCTGTGCCAATAATTGATGAGGTTTTGCTTTATGTTTTATTTATAACCAACAAAGGCCAAAACTTTGCAGTCTGTGGCGTTCTCACTTGATTACAAAGTACACCGGCCAGTGGTCAGAAATTTCAGGGCTGAGCGCCACTCACAGCCACTCAGGTGTGCTGTAAATGACATGGTGCTAGAAGTGAAGCTGTTATTGTTACCTGTGGTGTTGAAGCCAAACAGGAGAGGGCAGGACACAGCAAAGGCCAGCACCCAGACGGCCGTAATCATGAAGGCCACACGTCGACAGGAACTCTGTCCCGTGCCATGCTGGTAGTGAACCGGCATGACCACTGCGGTGTACCTGCAAAAGGAAGGGAGCGAGGATAGACGTCATGAGACAGGATGGAGATCTGTTCAAAAGTTGAAATAAGTTGCTTGTGAAATAATTAGTTGACACATATGGTAGGAGAAAAATGACTTATTTGGAGGAAGAGAGAAAAGGGTATTTGAGTGAAAATAGCAGAAAGGTTGAGATAAGATAAATGAAGAACTTATAGAGTGGGCTAACAGAGAAAGGGACGAAAAATAAAAGTTGGTTCGGTAATATCGGGATGCTAGAGAACTTCTTTACCATTCTGCCTGCCTGCCTGCCCAGATAACCAGCCTTGCTGTCACATGCTGTGCACGCTCAAGTCTCTGGGTACTAGTCTGGGTGCCTTTATTTTATTCTACAGCTTTTCAGACAATGTCAGAACTGTGCCTGAAGAGGATGTCTGCTCCCTGTTTGCATCCTAATATATAAGCTCTAACCCTCGTAGTGACAGCTCTTCCAAGTAATAGAGGTTTCAATAACAGAGATGAGTTACAGCCAATGGAGACTTGTTTAAAAATTCAGTTTTCATGCTTTCACAAGGTCGAAGCCCAGGTCCTTACTCCTGTCGGACATTGTTATATTTTCTTCAGCAACTTCTAACAAATTCCATTTGCCTGTAGGACTTATCAGGATGGCGGTTGCACAGTCGTTTCCAACTCAAGATGTCTAAAATGGATCTCCTCAGCTCCCCATGCCTCTTAATCTGGTTCCACTTTCTGCCTTTCTTCATGACATTCAGACCCAATACTCAGATCTTTTGACTCTCCCTGGACCCTTCCATATCATTTGCTCGCTAATCCATTTAATCTTTCTATATATTTTTTTTTGAGTTGGAGTCTCACTCCATCACCCAGACTGGAGTGCAGTGGCTGCTCCTGGCCACTGCAGCCTCGACCTGCCGGGCTCCCGCGATCCTTCCACCTCAGCCTTCCGAGTAGCCGGAATTTCAGGCACGCGCTATCACGCCCGGCTGATTTTTGATTTATTGTAGAGATGAGGTCTCGCCAAGTTGCCCGGGCGGGTTCCGAACCCACGGGCTTAGGCAATCCACTCACCTCAGCCTCCCAAAGCACGAGATTACAGGTTGAGCCACCGAGCCCGGTTAATCTTTCATTCAATATTTATTGAATCCCAACTATATGCTAGGCCCTATCCTGGATATATAGAGATGGGCAAAAGGGACATTACCCCTGTTCTCGTTGCACTTAGAGCTGAGTGGAGTGAATGAATGATAAAAAAGAAAAGAAATAGGTTAATATAAAGTGAAGAGAACCATGAAAGAAATAAGCAGGGTGATGTGTAAGAGAGCAAGAGAGGAGACCAAGAAGGGGCAAACCAACAGAGCGGGCAGGGAAGTGAATGGTATGAGAGGGCGCCAGACATGATGTGAGGTGGGGAAGAACTTTCCACAAAGAGAATAGGTCCTGTAAATTTATCCATTATGATCTCTTCTGCATTTATCCACTCATTCTTTTCCTGGCACCTGATTTCTTTCTTTCTTTCTTTTTTTTTTTGAGTTGGAGTCTCACTCCTTCACCCAGGCTGGAGTGCAGTGGCATGCATGCTCATAGCCGCTCCTTTGTCAACCTTCTGGGCTCCAACGATCCTTCTGCCTCAGCCTTCTGAGTAGCCAGAACTACAGTCACATGCTACCATGCCCGGCTATTTTTAATTTTATTGTAGCGACGAAGTCTCGCCAGGTTGCCCGGGCTGGTCTCGAATCCACGGGCTCAGGCAATCCACTTGTCTTGGCCTCCCAAAGTGCTGGGATTACAGACTGAGCTACCGAGCCCGGCCCTGGTATCTAATTTCTATTGATGACTATAGCTTCCTCACTGGTCTCCAGTGGCCAGGTTTCAAAAAAAGATTTCATCCCCACATCTCCAGCTAAAAACTGTATGAGATAGGCAGAATTCTGGGATGGCCCCCAAGGTGTCTGTCCTGTATTATTCCCTTTGTTGAGTATAGGCTGCACCTGTGAATATGGTGTAATATCACACCTTTGAGTAGACTATTAATCAGTTGACCTTGAGTTAATCAAAGAATTATCCTGGGTGGGCCTGACCTAGTCAGGTGAACCCTTAAGGTGGGCTGTTTCTTGGCCAGCACTTGAGGTCCCCAATTTTGTGGGGATTCACGACTATAATTCCAGCACTTTGGGAGGCTAAGGTGAGAGGATTACCTGAGCCCACAGGTTGGAGACCAGCCCAGGTAACTTGGCGAGACCTCATCTCTACAATCAAAATAATAAAAAAAAAAGTTAGCCAAACATGGAGGCATATGCCTGTAGTTCCAGCTACTTGGAAGGCTGAGGCGGAAGGATCATCTGAGCCCAGCAGGTTGAGGCTGCGGTGGCCATGAGCATGCCACTGCATTCCAGCCTGGGTGACAGAGTAAGAGACTCTAACTCAAAAACAAAGGGACCGGGCTATTTCTGAACTTAGATATTCAAAGCATGAGAAATTATCCTGTTGGCCTTGAAGGAGCAAACTGCCATCTTTTGCAAAAGGTCACTTAGTAGGAGATAGCAAAAGGCCTACCAGAGCTAAGAACAACTCTGGTTGACAGCCAGCACAAAATTGGGGACCTCAGCCCTACAACTGCAAGGAAGTGAATTCTACCAACAACTTGAAGGAGTTTGGAAGAGAACCCCAAGCTCCAGATAAGAATGCAACACAGCCTACACCTTGGTTTCAGTCTTGTGAGAACCTGAGCAGAGAATCTACCTACACTGAGCACAGAGTTTTGACTTTCATAAACAGTGAGATTTTTTAAAAAGATACAGTTTAAGTCTCTAAGTGTGTGATAATTTGTTCCACAGAAATAGAAAATGAATACACTATCAATGGTTCTTTCACTCATAGGCCAAGCTTGACCTTCCCCAACATGACCTCAACTTACCTTGCCCATCTGAATTCCCATCTGTCCCTGATACTTACTCATAACTCCAGCTAAACTGGCTTGGTGATGGGTACTCTTCAATAGTCAGAGACTTGTGACTTTGTTCAATCCATTATTCCTTCTCCTTCCATGGTAACTCAGTCCTACCCTTCCTTAATCCCAGATCAACTCCCAGCAACCTTTTCTGCTTTAACTCTGAGCTCAAAACACTTCTGCACACATCAGTCGCATTGCCCTCCTGCATGCTGTTGTCCTGCCTCATTACTGGAGGCTGGAGAGAGAGAGTCCCATTTGGTCTAGGTCACTTGATGGCTCAAATAATCTTATACCCCACAGGTTCTTGTACAGAGCAAGTAGTAAGAAGCTAATGACCGATTGCCTCATGGGTCATGAAAGCCTCCTTCCCCATAAGTGGACTGTTCTAATACTAGCCAGGCTCAAAGGATCCAAGGTATACATACAGCTGGGTATACCTACAGTTCAATTTTTTTTTTCTTCTAAGTGTACAGGGCACCTGGAGCCTCCTTAACCCTTCTTGTGTACCTCAAGGTTTGAGACGGAGGAAAGGAAGGACATTTGCTGGGCTAGAGGGCATGGGGCAATGCTCCCATGTGTGCCCAGCTGCTATGGCCCAGCGCTGCCTGAATCTGGCCCTTACACATCTGGATGTAAAATGTTCACATTTGTACTTCCAAGAGAGTGGTTTAAAGTCAGCTGTGAATTCTGAGATGAAAGTAGACTCTGTGGGACTTGCCCTTGACAACACGACAAAGATGGCTTCCTTCTAAAGAGGGAGAACAAGAGGTCCTTATTTACTCAGGTCTAATTCAGATCCTGCCACCAACCTAAGGCAGGCTACAACAACCTAGTTCCGCTCTTCTGATGCATCTGCGGTAAAATACTTCCTCTGATGCCCACCTTGGCTTATACAGGAGCAGGGCAAGTAGCACCTGGTGTTCCTTTGAGCCTCTCACTCTCCTCAGGACTTCAGATTCTGCTGTGACTTCAAGTCAAATAGGTCTACAAGGGCCTTACTGTTAGTGATGACCCTGAAGCCTTGGAGGAGAGGCTGAGCCTTGAGTTCTGCTGTGGCCATGACCAAACAGCTAGCTGAGGGCAGGGGAAGGAAAGCTGTGACCCATTTTCTCAAGGTCTGCCATTTACATAATGGCCTGTAAATGGATGTAAAAAGGCCTGATCCTCCTGTGTCCTCAGTGATGTGCTGGTAAACAGCTAACAACTGGCTCTCCAGGTGAAAAAACCCTAATTGGTAACATCTGCCAATTTCTGTGGTGTAAATGCTCCTACAGTTGCCCATTTTAAGTTACCACCAAAGCTTTAATAACTACCTCAAAAAAATTTCTAAAATTTCACCCATCAGCTCTTGCTAGCCATTACAATTTGGCAACTCCTTGGAGACTTCATGAATTCATATTCAAAAAAATTTTTTTTTTTAGAGATAGGGTCTTGCTATGTCGCTCAGGCTAGTCTTGAACTCTTGAACTCAAGTGATCCTTCCACCTAGGCCTCCCAAAGTGCTGGGATTATAGGCATGATCCATGGCACCTGGCCAAGGCTCTGTTAATTTAGTGAGCCTGCGAGTGAATGGAATGGAACCTTGGCTCCACTCTATAAAGGAGGAATCAGAGACACCGGAAGGTTACTAATGATGTCAAGGTCCTGCAGTGGATAGTGGCAGAGCCAGGTCTCCCACCTCCGAGGCTGGTGTTTCTCCTGAGTGCTCCACTTCCTCTCAAGGACATCACAAGTCTCTGAGGCCTTGTAGGAGACAAGGGCTTCCTCAGAAAAGCTAACATGGCAAGGAATGGTTTGTGCCTGCAGAGCGCTGTGGATGAAGAACTGAGTTTCCTCAATTAGCTTGATTCTGTTCATTGCATTGGGGTCCTGCGGAATGCAGATTTCCAGGTCATGTTGTTGGAGATTTTGATCAAGTAGTTCTGATGTAGAACCCAGGCGTGTATTTTTAACAAGGACGTGCATCTTGTGATTAGACACGTTGAGAAAGTCTGTGTTAGGAAAAATTTCCGTGACAAATATTTTTGTTGACTTGGGTAAGAAGTGAGAGA